GATTTAGAGTTAAGACACCCCAAAATTTTCGGGCGTGAGATCCAAAATGGATCGGACGCGGGAGGGGGGGGGGGTGCTCGTTGCTTGAAGTGGACCAATATAACATAGAGCCATCCAAGCAAAGCTTACTACTCACCTGAACGACCTGACCAACCACGCAAAAACTGCGGAGCTAGATGTGCGGCACGCACAATGAATTGTTTTCGATTGGAGAGAGGCGAGTACAAAGCAGTAAGGAATTGTTGGCCAAACTTTCGGCAGATAGGTCTACTCGGGAGCGTAAGTGGGGTAGCAACCCATGGTGGAGCGTACATGAGAAGCTGGACGTTGGTGTACGATCCATCCCGGCGTGTGAGTAGGATCTTAGGCTATGCAAGTCGTCCCTGAACTTATTGTGGTGAAAATGACCTCCCAGGAGGAAAGTAGCCTGTACCGCGGGACTTCGGAGATGACAAATTGGGTGGTCGGGGGACGTCTGGGTGTTTACTAAGCAGAACGCCCGGCACAAGACTGGGGTACTTGTGCCAGGAGGTGTGAACTTGGATCTAGACTACGAGCCCATGTTGGAGGCGCTATTTAGCGTCGGTGAGCCGGCAAAAGAACTGAAAGGAACCACAACCCCCACCGGACACTCGGATTGGGAAGGCCGAGTATTCCGTATACCTTCCTGAAAAAACACGAAAAACAAGTGGCCGCGGTCCAGTTGCTGTAGAGATCATGAGGATGGTGAAGAAGCCGGGAGGATGGAAGCAGAAACTGTGGCAGGGAGACAGGTTGGAGCTGCTGCTGTTTGGAATTCCAAGGGACATGACGAGGATAGAGTTCAAGAACTGTTGTGACACGGAGGGACTGCATTGCCTAGCAAGGGGAGAAGTAGGCAGAGAGCATGAACATTTCCGGGTGAAATTGACCAAGGGAGACAGCCAAGAGTGCTTGGGGGTTGACATCGAGAAGCTGTCGAAATACGTAAGGAAGTTTGGATGGAGGGTTTGCGTCGCGAACATGATAGGAACAGAGAAGGTGAGGCGACAGGAGGCGAGGGCGATAGAGGCGAAGAAGAGACCGGGCGGGGGAGACGAGCAGGCAAATCAGAAGAACGCCGAGAAGAAGCGGAAGGCGAAGGATAGAGTGCGCAAAATCTCCAATAGGGAAAAACACAAGCTCAGAGTGGGGTCGTGGAACGTGTGCGGGTTCGCAAGGAGTGAGCGCAAGCGGTTGGAAATAGTGGACCAAGTAGAACAAAGCGATCTGGATGTAGTGGGGATCCAAGAGACGTGGGAACTGAAGGATGGGGACGTGGTAAGCAAAATAGGGAAGTACCGATGGGTAGGGAAGGCAAGAAAGGGCTTAGACCCGAAGAAAAGGGGGGAGGGGGGAGTCGGATTCCTGGTCAAGGAACACTTGTTTGACGTGGTGGAAGTAGTGGTGAAAACGGAGTTCGAGGAAAGCCTATGGCTTAAGATACCTGGGGAGCGGGGTGAGAAAGATTTGTTTCTAGGGAACGTATACGTCCCACCGTCGTCGAAGAAAGTCGCAAGCAAGGCGCAGGAGAACTTCGGACAAATTGGGGAAGATGTCCAGAGGTCCAGTAGGAAGGGAGAAGTTGTCATGGTGGGCGATTTCAACTCCAGAGTAGGGAAAGCTTGCAGTAGAGGACAGGCGATCGGGCAGCACGGAGAAGACAAAGTGAATGACAACGGAGTGAGGATGCTTGAATTCTTGGGAAGCAACGAGCTGATGGTGTTGAACGGTAGGAGGGAAAGCGATAAGCCAGAGTTCACCAGGCAGAGGGCAGTTTGCAATGAATACTCGATCCTCGACTACATCCTGGTAGATAGGGGGAGCACACAGGTCCCGGAGCTGCACGTAAGTGCGATAGATATAGGCTCGACCGACCATTTCCTCATATGGGCAAACATCGACCGATCTAGAAAGACGGAGAGTAAGAAAAAGAGGAAAGTGTTCCGGTGGAAAGTAGAGCGTTTGGGAGACGAGGGGACACGCGATGAATTCCAGAAGGGATTG